TAATATTCTATTTATAAAGATAAAAAATGCATTGGAAAGTCAATTTAGGGGGCAAATATGGTTCTTTAATGGAAAAGTTGCAGTCTAAGTGGAAGAGAGGGGGTAGACCTAAGCAGAAAAAAAGGGGGTACTCAACTCTAAAACAAACATTTTCCCCCATTTTGTGTCCCCCCCACTTCTCAAACCAAAGTTACACCCTTGTTCATATGAGCCAGTGCATTATTTCATATTCAAGTCATCTCATGGCCCCTATGGCACTAAATATTTATTTTATGAGTAATTAAAGTGTAAGCTAATGTGTACTTGATTGTTGTTTGGTAAATGAATGAAACCCATGACGTGAAAGCACTAGCATACACAAAATCACACTGCTTGCTGAACTTAAATTCATACGTCTGCAAGTTCAAGTTACTGTGCAAATCCAATGTAATTAGTCTAATTTTCAAAGTGTTCTTTGAAAATTAGGACTAATATGTAGTTTTCTGGTTTATATCTGGTTTTGGCAATTATATCCCCGGTGGCTCACCTTTACAGATTGGTTTGAAGACATAAAACTAGGGCTTATTAAAAGAAAATATTTTGAGGTTTGTTCAAGAACACCAACCTTTATAACCATTCGGCAATGTCTGGTGGCTTCAAAACACCTGGACTTCAATAAAACCCCAATTCAGAACGATCGGTACGTCACCCCCACCTACATTGGCTCTAGTTTCCGTTCCACCTAAAACAGCACCGTTTTTGACTGTGGCAGAGGCCTGTTGATGTGTGTAGCGCCCCCTGCTGTCTCCAGTGCCATGTTGTGCTTCTGTCTTTCCAGTTATCCTCAGATGTCTGAGATCTCTCGCCTTTTCTCCAGCTTCTCCGCCTCGTCTCTACACCTCAGGCCTCATTCCGGGTCAGCATTTCAGTTGGCCGATCCGTCCCCAGAACACTTGACGCTGTGCTGAAACACATAGACGTTAACCGCGCTTAGCTTATCTGCTCAAGTTTCAAGTTTAATTTATTTCTAGAGCACATTTAAAAACAACCGTAGTTGACCAGGCTCAGACTCATTCAGTCATTTCTGCCCCAGTATACCTGAGAAACGCTGAATGCTTATTGGTGGGCTCAGATGTGCTGGAGGGTGTAGAAAGTGAAAATAGGGTGTTCGGGAGCTCTTGAGCTTAATTCGAGAAGTGCAATGGCATGATCGCACAATTTATGACGTCTAGTGGGAAGAAAGTTTGGAGTGTGGCATGGCATTTGAACCAAGACGCATGTTTTGTGCTCTCATTGAAACCTCCATTTACCCAATCGCTCTTTGACCCTTGTTCCCCTCCTACCCTTGGTTGGATACTAATGTGATGAGGTCAGCAGCTCCGCCTCCCTCTGTGTCATCATCATCACAGTTTTGATCTTTCTGGGGACCGGCCTCTCTCCCGTTTTTAATAGGAGTGTTTTATAGGAAATTCTTCCTGTTATTGCTGAAGTGAAATTGCAGATTTTTATTGGCTGCTTTTGTAGAAGTAAACATTAAATGAGAGTGGTTTTTGGAGAGTGGAACTGGCTGGTTTGTGTGTGGAGTTTGAGAGATGTTTTTCTTTGCTTTCTCTTTCTACCACAGGGCAGAACTAAGTGATCATCTAGAGACCATTGACTCTGGGTTAGACAACCTTCAGCATATCCTCAATGCTCAGTCCATTAACTTCGACGCCTCGCCTTTCTTTGATGTAAATATTGTTTCAGTCTTGAACACCAAATATAAGAACTAAGTGAAATTGATAATTTAAAAAAGAAAAACTATAATAGATCTTTTATTGTTATGTTAATAATAGTATTTTTTCGTATACAATTCATGTATGTATGAGTGTATAAATGCTGTGAAGTAAAACATTTAAATAATGTACTGTTGAATAATGTACTATTATTTATTGTTATTGTATTGTTGTGTTTCGCAGATTTTCACATCGTCTTCTATTGATATGGATCTGGACAGCCTGGCTAGTGTAAGTTTTATTTATTTATTAGTCTTTTTTTTTCTTTTGTAATTTATATATTATTTATTTTATTATTTATATAGTTATTTCAGCTATAATTTTGTATAGAAAATATAAAGCACAGAGATAACACTGAGAAAGCAGACTGCTTGTGTGATTAAGAAAGTTCAGTGTCTAACAGCTGCAGAAGAACCACGACTCACAGAATGAACAGAATGCAAAGACTTCAAACAAACTCGTCTGATCTTTTTAACGGAAAATATTTGACATGGTTTCAAATGATAGATGTTTATCAGATCGCTAGAAGTAAAGATGGTTTAACTGCAGATTGCTGTGGGGTTAATACCTGTTCATGCGATTTACTTTCACTTTGCATAAAAGCATAAGTTGTGTGGGAAGTAACGTTAACATCTTAATTTTTCAGACGTGGTGAGCACTCCAGAAATCTGCATATTGCTTGTCTTAGTTAATCATACATCTGTGGTCTTTTTACAGATCCAGGACCTTCTGTCACCTGAACCTGTGAAAGAAACTGAATCTGGTGACTCTGAAGATTCAGGTATTTAGGGTGCTTGAAAATTAAAATTTTGTTTTAAAATGCAAAGACATGCACTGTATTAATAAATAAATTAACCCCAAAAAATATATGGTAAGAAACGACACATGGTTGCCACCACTTTACCGTAAAAAAAATATGGTAGCAATATTTTCAGAAGTCAGGGCTTTATTGACAAGTATGTTTACACACACAAGGAATTTGTCCTGGTGACAGGAGCTACCAGTGCAGAAGAAAGTACAGACATAGTGCAAACATACATGATAGTGCAGACATGCATAGGAATTACACAGTTAGATAAAATATAACACTAATATAAGAAAAGCAGAAAATTAAATAATGCAATATAATACAGAAGTAGAAATATAGAGAAAAACATATATCATTGTTTTAATTAATATACAGATATGTTATTTACAAGTGTACAGTTTATGTAGTTTACAAATGTACAATATTCAGCTGTTATACTGGTCTGTGCTTTGTGTGGGCTTTGTTTAGCCCTTTTTATCACTCTGGAGGTGTAAAGATCTTGGAGGTTGGGCAGTGGGGAACCAATAATCTTCTCAGCAGTCCTGACTGTCCTTTGTAGTCTCTTGATGTCTGATTTGATAGCTGAGCCATACCAGACAGTTATAGATGAACACAGGACGAACTCGATGGCCGAGTAGAACTGTTTCAGTAGCTCCAGTGGCAGGTTGAACTTCCTCAGCTGGTGAAGGAAGTACAGCCTCTGCTGGGCTTTTTTTTTTTTTTTTTTTTACAATAGAGTCGATGTGATTGTCCCCAAGATGGTGGTGCCCAGGAACCTGAATGACTACTGCAGCCACAGGTGCTGTTCATGATGGAGAGTGGGGGGAGTGCAGGGGGGTTCCTCCCTGTTGAATAATGTACTATTATTTATTGTTATTGTATTGTTGTGTTTCGCAGATTTTCACATCGTCTTCTATTGATATGGATCTGGACAGCCTGGCTAGTGTAAGTTTTATTTATTTATTAGTCTTTTTTTTTCTTTTGTAATTTATATATTATTTATTTTATTATTTATATAGTTATTTCAGCTATAATTTTGTATAGAAAATATAAAGCACAGAGATAACACTGAGAAAGCAGACTGCTTGTGTGATTAAGAAAGTTCAGTGTCTAACAGCTGCAGAAGAACCACGACTCACAGAATGAACAGAATGCAAAGACTTCAAACAAACTCGTCTGATCTTTTTAACGGAAAATATTTGACATGGTTTCAAATGATAGATGTTTATCAGATCGCTAGAAGTAAAGATGGTTTAACTGCAGATTGCTGTGGGGTTAATACCTGTTCATGCGATTTACTTTCACTTTGCATAAAAGCATAAGTTGTGTGGGAAGTAACGTTAACATCTTAATTTTTCAGACGTGGTGAGCACTCCAGAAATCTGCATATTGCTTGTCTTAGTTAATCATACATCTGTGGTCTTTTTACAGATCCAGGACCTTCTGTCACCTGAACCTGTGAAAGAAACTGAATCTGGTGACTCTGAAGATTCAGGTATTTAGGGTGCTTGAAAATTAAAATTTTGTTTTAAAATGCAAAGACATGCACTGTATTAATAAATAAATTAACCCCAAAAAATATATGGTAAGAAACGACACATGGTTGCCACCACTTTACCGTAAAAAAAATATGGTAGCAATATTTTCAGAAGTCAGGGCTTTATTGACAAGTATGTTTACACACACAAGGAATTTGTCCTGGTGACAGGAGCTACCAGTGCAGAAGAAAGTACAGACATAGTGCAAACATACATGATAGTGCAGACATGCATAGGAATTACACAGTTAGATAAAATATAACACTAATATAAGAAAAGCCCAGGAACCTGAATGACTACTGCAGCCACAGGTGCTGTTCATGATGGAGAGTGGGGGGAGTGCAGGGGGGTTCCTCCTGAAGTCCATGATCATCTCCACTGTTTTGAGCATGTTCAGCTCCAGGTTGTTTGACTGTACCAGACAGCCAGCTCTTTAACCTCCTGTCTGTGCGCAGACTCGTCTCCATTGTGTCTGAGGCCGATGATGGTAGTGTCATCTGCAAATTTCATGAGCTTGACAGAGGGGTCTTTAGAGGTGCAGTCGTTGGTGTACTGGGAGAAGAGCAGTGGGGAGAGCACACAACCCTGAGGGGCGCCAGTTTTGATAGTGAGAGTCCTGGATGTGAGTTCACCCAGCCTCACTTGCGGCTGCCTATCTGTCAGGAAGCTGGTGATCCACTGACAGATTGGAGAGGGCATAGAGAGCTGAGTCAGTTTGTCTGAGAGAAGGTCAGGCATGATGGTATTGAAGGCCGAACTGAAGACTACAGACAAGATCCTTGCGTAATTCCCAGGTCTATCAAGATGTTGTAGAATATAATGCAGTCCAATGTTTACTGCATCATCCACAGACCTGTTTGCTCTGTACGCAAACTGAAGAGGATCCAGCAAGAGTCTAGTGATGTCTTTCAGATAGGCCAACACCAGTCTCTCAAATGACTTCATGACAACAGACGTGAGAGCGACAGGTCTGTAGTCGTTAAGTCCAGTGATTTTGTTTTTTTTGGGGGACCGGAATGATAGTGGAATGTTTGAAGCAGCAGGGAACTTCAGCTCTGTGTAAAGATTGGAGCCAGTTGGTCAGCACAAACTTTTACACAGGCATGTGAAACACTGTCTGGGCCTGAAGCTTTCCTTGTCTTCTGTTTTTTCTTTTCTTCTACACGGACCATAAATATAGGTTGAATGGCAGGAGAGGGGAGGAGGGTTGCAGGAGGTGTTTTGTGTATGTGTGAAATGCAGATCAGAGTGGGTGGGGTGTGTGAGACTGGGCTTTTCAAACCGGCAGTAAAACACATTCAGATCGTCAGCCAGTTGTTGATTCTCCACAGACTGTGGGGGTGGTGTCTTGTACTTGATGTTCCTCAGAACAGTCCATACTGACGCCGGGTTGTTGGCTGAAAACTGTATTTTTTTCAGCTTTTCAGAGTTGCTGTTTTAGCCACTCTGATCTCCTTTGTTTGTCTGTTTCTGGCCTGGTTGTACAAGATTTTGTCCCCTCTTCTATAAGCATCCTCTTTGGGACGATGAAGTTGTTTGTGTTTCCCAGTAAACCATGGTTTATCATTATTGAGTGATAGGAATGACCTGGTAGGAATGCACATATCCTCATTGAAACTGATATATGCAGTTACATCTGTGAGCTCATCCATATTGGTGGCTGCAGCTTCAAAAACTTGTTTGTGTTTCCCAGTAAACCATGGTTTATCATTATTGAGTGATAGGAATGACCTGGTAGGAATGCACATATCCTCACTGAAACTGATATATGCAGTTACATCTGTGAGCTCATCCATATTGGTGGCTGCAGCTTCAAAAACTATCCGTTTTGTTAAGAAGGGAACGGACATTCGCAAGATGAATGCTTGGGAGCGCAGTTCAAAAGCCGCGCTCGCAGAGCTTAACCAGCGCGCCAGCACATTTCCTCCTCCTGCGTTAATTTAATTAAATTTACGGTAAAAAAAACTTTATTTTATTAAATAATGTAGTGTTAATATTCCATCTAAATTTATAACATTTATTTTGTAACTGCATAATATACTGATAACCACCGTAATAATACAGGTGGTAAAAGAGACACATGATGAACTAGAGTTTGTCACAAGAAGCAGAAGATGTAATTAAGAAGATCATTTTTCATTACAAAATCTGTAACAGTATTTTACAGTTTTTCACCATATATAGTATGGAAACATGCTGTTAACCAATGAACAGGTTTTTCCTGTACCATTTTTACAGTCGTTTACTGTTAAAATAAAAAAAAAAGTTTACTGTTGCAGTCTTTTGATATTTTTTGGTGTAAAAGGTGTGTAGTGTTTATGCAACTAATGTGACCAAATGGTGTTTTCAGGCAAGCAGCTGGTCCAGTACACGTCTCAGCCCGTGATTCTTCCCGACCCCGTCAGCACTGAAACCAGTGCCACCGACCTGCCCATGCTTCTGGAGCTGGAGGGCGACTCGTATTTCGGGTCAGAACCAGCTGAAGACCTGACCATCTCCTTTTTTAACTTCCAGTCCCCCGCCCCTGAAGACCCCAAACTATCGTAGAGAGAGCAGATTTTCTAAAGGGATTTATATCTGTGTGGGTTTTTAAAAATGTTTTTTTGGTCATTTCACACATCAGGGCTAGCCATTAGATTATTACTCTGGTATTTCCCTTCACAATGAGTCTGGGAAAAATCTCTAAAAAGCAGTAGAGAGAATTCAGTATTCCTTCAAATCCCTCCGTCATGGAGTTGAAACATCAAAATTAGCTTTTATTTGTTGGCTCAGTAGTTTCCTTGTTGTTCTGGCAGTGAGAAAACCTCAAACTAAATGTGTAATGCTACAGATGTAAATCTAAATTTTGCGCCCACGCTTTGTGTGCTTACCATTTATTTATCTTGATTGGTTTTGCACCAATACTTTGAGATCTATGCTAAGCGATTGTCTTGCAGTCTGTCACCACTGCAAAACCTCAAGCATTTTCCTGCTCTTCTGGTTGTCATTATTTATCTAATTATGTTGCGATTAACCCCAGATTGTTGTATTCGACACCCAGGTCTCATAAGTATTCCAAGTAGTCATCTTCCAGAAGATTTTCTTTGCAGTATAAATTGGAATGATGGTTGAATATCTCATTGATATTGAAGTTAAAGCAAAAACAAAAACATAACGTGCACCTTTTATAGCCAGAAAATGCAGTTGGTTTAATCGGACAAACATGAAACAAGCATCAAAAATCAATGTTGTGTAAACTTGTCCAGCATCCCACTAACTGTCTTCAAAACCATAGCTGTTACTCATCATATAATGTCTGATTTTGGTTAGTGATGATGGGTATGGGTTAAAGGTGCATATTTAGAAATTAATGAAATCTTTTGTAAAAAAAATAAGTAATCTTTTGCCGTTGAAACAAGCAGGACAGCCTATGATGCTGTATATAGGATATATGTTTAAATATATAAATAGTTGAGAGTCTGTGCATTTGTTTTGATGAAACAAATTCATTTCAGACTTTGAAAACACATTCAACAGGGATGAATTACACAATAGGTGTATGATCTGATCTGATTTGAAGAATTTGTGCAATAATTCAACTCTTAACCAGCTTTGACAGCAACACACTGCTTTGTTAATCTCTTTAGTTTTTTTTCCCTTTGTTTTTGTTTGTTTAGCAAAAGGAACTAGAAAATATAATAGGCGGATCTTATTAAGACCTTGTCTGGGCATATTTCACCTTAAAATCTAAAGGAAAAAAATTATTTAAAAAAGAAAATAAAGCCAATTTTTGGGCAATTGTGGATGATTTTTTTCCCCCCTAGATCCTAAAAATAGGCTTCATTTTGCTTTCGCAAAATATAAAAGAAAATATAATTTAAAATATATTTTTGTCATGATTTTGGGTAAAATGCGACCTGGACCTATTTGTGAGATTCTCGTTTAAATTGGATACTAAAATAGCTAATTGAAATTGTATTTTTTTTGGTGCGATTTGTACAGATGCTATGCCCTATAGACTTCTATCGTTCAACACTTGTTTATTTTTGGATGGCAGCGCGGTAGAGGAACTGGGAGAGGAATGTCACTGGTTGATGGTTCTGGTAATTTTCAGTCACATTTTAGTCATTAGATGACTGTCATAGCCAGAGAGACATTAATATTAGGCATAAATTATTTTATTATGCATGTAAACAACACTTTGTGTATTGATATGTTTCAAATAAAATGTTTTTGAAAGTATTTGGAAGTAGTTTGGTTTTTATTTACCTTGCTAGAACCTGTTAAATCAAGCTTTTGATTGTAGCCGGGTTTTCATGGGTTCTAGTTGGTCATTAGCTGGTCTAAATAAATCTTGGTTAGAAGTTTGTAAATATTTTTTTTTTACTAAACGTCCACTGTCTATACAGTAGATATATATATATATATTATAGTATAGTATATATATTAAAATTATGCTCCCTGACTAGAGAAAACAGAAAAGGGCTGTGGCGAAAAAATAGCTAGGAAAACTTCCAACACCCATAATGCACTTGGCTCGACCAGTCTATCCGTAAACAGAGATCCAAAAATGCGAAAGTGCAATCTGTAGTTTTCACAAAAGCCCACTGTATGACAATAAACGGGAACGTCTTGTTTCAGGCAACATAAAAAAATAATACACACTGTTTATTAACACATAATGCCGACATTGTAACAATACAAAGTTCGGCGAACTTGCCCTTTAACCTATAGTGTTGTAAGACAACCTTAGACCACTTGCCATTTTCCAAATAGGCTACTTGTTTCTGAACTGGTTCCACAAAGTTATGCATTTTCTCAGGTAAAATGACAAATATTTTAATATGATGTTCAAAATAGATGTTCAATTTAATGTAAAGATTATCTTCCAATGACATGCATTCAGCAATATACAATTTGTGACATTTGTAAAGAACATTGCTTAAACATCTAGGCAAGAAAATACAGTGGCGACATTTATGAGGGGAAAACACACACAAAGGAGAGCTAAAGTCTAGCGGGCGGGTTCACGGTTCCTCTGCCAGGCATACGGGTCCGTACACTGAAATCTGTAGCGCAGAAACCTCACTTGCGGCTTCATGTGGAAGTCAGCAGGTATCTTCCAGTTCCACATTTTCTGCACCTTTCAAAAAGCGCAGAGATCAGTTCATTGAGGCCAAACTAGCAGGACAGACGTTTGTTAGCAGAAAAGTTTTGGTTTAAGCTTTCAGTCTGGTGCCCAAACTCATCGAGCATCTTTCATTAAACACGAAACCGAAATTCGTTCATATTATGTGCTTTCTGTTTAATATATTTCTATTAAGGATGAATGGGTAAAACATAATATTTATAAGATGATTTGGGCCATTTGTTTTTGTTATGTTTCTGTTGAATATATGAATTTTACCGATATTTCAACATGAACAGTCTGCATGAAGAATTTCAGACCCACCTTCAGGACCCTGACCAGATGTGTGGTACTGTTCACCTGCTGATACTGGACAGAACAAGCAAAACAGCGAAAAGAGAAGAGCTGTTGAGCATCTGTTCATCAGCACAGGAGACACTCTATAATTTTTTGCATCTCAATCAGACATAGACATGAATTCATTTGTAAGGTATTCACTATTTCATTTCTATTCTACAATTTTTCTTCATTAAGTTTTATGAATGATACGTTTCCTTGACAGGTTTGACATGGCTTTGAGGTGAAAGCAAGAGATCATCAGAATGAATCATAAATCATGTGACTGAAGTGAAGGAGGTCTGAACTCCCATGAAGCTTACCAGCTGTCTGTGTTTGTTCCGTAGCACCAGGTTGTCCTGTTACAAGAGAAAAAACCAGGTTAACAACTGATTTGATGAATTTACCCTGTTTGTTACTTTAATATACAGTTTAACAGGTAAAGCAGGTTTAGAGATTTTGTGTGATTCATACATTTCATATATATATATATATATTTCTATTTCTATCATGAGAACTCTGAAAATTTTAGCATGGTAATGGATATGACGATGTTAATGTATTAGGTCTTGGTGGAATAGATCTGTTACGCTGCTGCTGTTGGTTATTGCATTAGTAGATTATTGCTGCTGCTGCAAGCAAGTACAGGAACTTGCTACTGCCAATACATAAGCCGATATGGTGCTTGTGAGTAGTGTTGCTTTCGTCAACGAAAATTGTGACTAAATATCGTCGTCAACGAACCTTTATCACGTGACGAAAACGAGACGAGACGCAACGTAAATGCTGGTCATGTGACGATGACTATAATTAAATGTATAATGCAATATTGTTGACGAATAAAAACGAATATATATATATATACACACACAAACACACACACACATATATATATATATATATATGTATATATACAGTATATATTCAATTTGCAGATATGTTAAAAACATGGACTCCCGAGAGTCCCTTGAGGTTCAGCTGTAGCTTAAAAATAAAAATTTAAAAAATTGAGAATATATCTTTTCCTTATAGTGTGTGCAAAATATGCGTGTGTGTGTGTGTGTGTCACCCACCTGTGCCCATGGCATCTGTCTGTGAGGAAACCCCTGTGAATGGATCCCCTGTGACTGGAGTTTAGTTTAAGAAAGGTTTGTTTCATTTGTAACTTTTAATAAACTTTGACACAATTTCTGCTTTGTAAGCAAACCCTTGCAAAAATTGACCTTGATAATCATAGTTTCCATCAAAATACCTTTGTTATTGTACTGTAAAATGATAGAATTTTCTTCAAACAGGCTTTCAGTATCTTTGTCACTCTTTCTGCAGAAACTACGTTTACCATGGTACATTTTTATAAGGGCAGCTTACCTGGATGGTTAGTTCACCTGATGAGGCAGATGTTTTCAAACGTAATTTACCTGGTAAGTCTGTCTGAACCATGCTACTATGTGTCTCTGAGGCATCTGAAAGTTTGACAAGAACATTTGAAGTGGCAAAATAAAAATCATAGAGTTTGTTACTTCAGATCATTATTGCATATATATTTATACCCATATTTACTTAACATACCTTTATATTATCTGTGACTTGCTCAATCGGATTTATTAATACAATCTAAAGGTCACTCACCTGTAAATCCAGTCCCAGTCGCACGCACAGAATCTGCTTTTCAGAAACACACACTACACGTGAAACCGTGGCATGAGTGCTAGACTGACATGTGTCTGGATGTGCTTAGGAAACATGGTTACCTGTGTAATTTGGCATGCCGTCTGTCACAGCTAAGTGTCCCTGCCCTGAATAACAGGAAACAGCATGTTATAAATATTTCATATTTATTTTAATCACTCCTTTGCATAATGTGTTGCACTCACCTGTCATGTCTGTTAGAGTCTGTCCGTCAGTCACTGGATCACCTGCTGCTCCTGATCACAATATCAGCGCTGTTATTACAGGTACGTGCACACAGACCAATGCTGCTTTTACACTCATTCATGGTGTATTTCTAAAATATGTTTGGTAAAATATCAAAGATAATACCGGCCATATCTGTCTGCACCCTTGCACCAGTGACACCGTCAAATCCTTTGAGAAGGCAAGGCGAGTTTACTTATACAGCACATTTCAAACACAATGGTAATTCAAAGTGCTTTACATACAAATAATTTTAAAATATTCGAGATGTAAATTTAGAATTCAGATAAAAAAAAGTCAGAATTGCGAGATGTAAACTCGGAATTGTGAGAAGATATCAGACTTCTGTGTTTATACCTTGCAATTCTGACCGTTTTTCCCCTCAGAATTGTGAGAAAGTGTGAACTGTGAGATAAAAAGTCACAATTAACAACCGTTTTTATTTGTTTAATCCATGACGGAAACAGGCTTCCGTACGTTTGCTTACCAATCGTGTCAGCGTAGGGGCTGAGAGTGTGGTCGTTTAGATCAAGCGCACCAACTGAAAATAACAGCAACAAGACATTTTTTTTTTAAAGGAGATAAATAGCACAAGCTTTAATTTCATTTTATAAATACTTTAAAGTATTCACTGAAATAAAGGTAGGCCTATATTTTTAGTCAACGTATTTTTCAAGTCATTTTGGATAGTATTATTTGTTGAGCTCATCTCAAGGCATTCTGGGCTTGTCTTCTTGCCTTAGATTTTTAGGGTAAACATTTTAAATAATAGATATCACTGTACTTCCCAGTTGATTAATTGCAAAAAGCAAGTGTTTTGTTTTCTGAAATGTTGTTTAAATATGCAAATGAGGCATTATCTAAATCTGAACTTTGGATAAAGCCAGGTTCAAAATTCCTGTTTTATTTTGTTGACATATTAGAGTTAAAGGTATCTTAACAGATGGGGTTTTGGATTACCCCCCCTCCATAAATCAGAAAATTCTGTCAACAGCCAGAAAAAAAATCTTTTTTAGGAATACAATTTTGTAAATCAGGCGCATTACATATAAACAAACCCCTCTGTAAAAACCTTCAAAATCTAGATGGTAATAAAAGTGTTAAGTTTGGTGTATGTGTAAGTGCATGAGAAAATGGCCTTTAACACAAATAAAGGGTAATAAAATAAACTCTTAAATGTGTTTTGTATAATAGTCTGAAGCAGTTATGGAAGTGAAATAGCACAACATGAATGGTTTTGCCTGTAGTGTCAAGCCTTATCTTGTTCATTAGCAAATTACTGATTGCAGTTCAGTTGTCTATGGATGAAATTGTTTGTTATAAAATATTGGCTATGTTACAGACCCCATAGAGTCACCTGACAAGCAATTTTGTAATCTAATGTATTTCTTGTTGAATCAGGACATTTGTAGGATCATATTAGAGAGCACGCCCCTTTTTAATAGCCAATAAGTATTAGTTATGTCAAATTTTATTTAAATAGTTATTTTAAAGGTGCATATTTATGAATTGTGTCAACTTTCAGGAGTACACTAGCATATAGATGTGCTGTGAACTAAAAGCCACAAAACTCTGATATTTGATTTCATGGCTTTAAACCTGCCATGAGAAATATTTTCCGTATTAATCACAAGCATTTGGTTAACCCACACAACCCCACCATTATAGACAGACTAGCCAGGAGAAGACGCATAAAAATTGAATTATGGCTAACAAATCAATTGACTTTCAGTGATGTCATAGAACCGGGTGATATAGTACCAGCTGTGTGATGCATCTCCGTTGCTGCGTCCTGATGGCCTGTTCGGAAAGACATTTGGGAATATTCACATCGATTCCAGGATATTAGTCTGTCAATAATATGACGTTGTGATTGTGTGTTGATTAGTTGTGTGTGTTTTATTGCTAGATACATACTGATGTCGAGATGAACGCCTGGAGGGTCACCTGTGAACGAATCCAGACACACACTGCAGTTCTCTCTCGTTTATAGGTTTCATATGTTTTTATAGGCATTTCAACATACCTTTCTGTATGTCTACCACAGGTTTGTGCCGACCGTTTCCATTTCCTGTAATGCAGTAATGAATTATGTGTCAAAACAATACTGTATGATGAAATCCCTGCTGGAAATCATGCGAAGATAATCTTCAGCTGGTTTAATTTGGATTTTCCAGCAAAAAAAGGTAATTATTATTGACTAGAGTTTACCGTTTGTATCGGGTAAATCTGCACCATTGTTATCTGCCCCACCATCTGAGCAGAACAACAAAATGGATACATATCATGTCTCCAGTTGTTTTGTTTTGGTATTTGTTTGTTTTTAATTGAAAATAGGGTTAATATTATCTTTACCATATCTTTACCATAAAGATCCATTCATTAACATTAGTTAACTACATTAGTTAAAATGAACTAAGATTATTAAATGCTATAGAAGTGTTGTTTATTGTTAGTTGATTCACATTTTTTTAACACTAGCTAACATTAACATTATTGCACAACACATTTCAACATTCACTAATACATTTTCAAAATCAAAGTTAATGCACTTTGAATAAACAACAAGCAATTGCATTTTTATTAACTAACATTTACAAAGACGAATAAATGCTGTAAGAAATATACTGCTCATTGTTAGTTTGTTGTTAGTTAGCTATTGCATTAACTAATGTTAAAGGAATAGTTCACCAAAAAATAAACATTTGCTGAAAATGTAAACAGATTTGAGAAATTTAGCATTATGAATGGGTGCCGTCAAAATGAGAGTCCATGCAGCTCTTTTTCACATGTTGGGTGAACTATTTCTTTAACAAATGAGGCCTTATTGCAGAGTTTTACTATCTTACCTGAATAGTCTATGAATGAATGACCCGGATGTGACATTGTGTCAAAGACTACAGATGAATCTGCAAATATCAGTCCGAATTAAGATTTGACATACTTTCTGTTTCAGTGCTTCAAGTCACTTTCCACCAGACCATGCAGGATTTTTGGTGAGCATGTTGTTTAACATCAGTTTACCTGTTGTATCAGCTGGTGATTTTGATTGGGCTCCATTATCAGACATGCCTGGAGATATTATGAAAGATATTATTAGAAAGACTCTGTTAACATAATATACTATTACTAATTTAATGCTAGTAAACAGATTAATACTTTACTTACTGATTGAATGGGTATAATCACCGTTACCATTGTCAACCGACAGATAATCTGATATACAGAACAAGAGACAGTTAGCAAGGTAATTGATTGGGTTTTCTAGACATGTTGACATGACTATTTAAATATCTATCTATCTATCTATCTATCTATCTATCAGATGCATGAACCCCCAGTGACCTCTCGTGACACTAAAAATGCCTCTGAAAGTTGTCATTTCGCCCCCTTCGGAGCCAATGTCACGACCGGAAGTCTGACAGAGTTTATTAGACGTGTGCTGGAATAATCCCACGGCTACTGGTGTAAAAGCACTCTAAATTTACAGGACCTAAAGGAGCACAGAGTGGAAGCCAGCAGCCATTACCTGGAGGAGCGTCTAGAACTGGACCGCCACTGGACGGGTGCCCTGGGCTCAGGCCAGCAGCTGAAAAGGAGAACCAGTGAGAGAAAAAAGACAGCTTTGATTCACACCAGTCGTCTTTCAATAAATTATTAGGTAGAGAACAGAATCTGGCTGGTTTATTCTGTCAGCGTGGCCCATAATTAGTAGAGTGTGACAGCTGGACAGAATGAGGGAATGCTCTCAGTGCCGTATGTGAGCCATTTCACAGCATGGGCATAAAAGTAAATCAAGTGAACTTAACTAGTGTGGGACGTCCTGTTTGTTACAAGGCCAATGAGATCAGCAGAAAGCAATTCTGGTGTCCGCAGCTCAAAAGCCATAAACATCAAGCCTCTCTGGTTAAGTGAAAAATGGATGACTTGAATTGGACTCTTACCTGCCGAATCCACCTGAAATGCGAGTCCCATGTGATCTGTTGAGACAGCGTCAGTTACTAGGCATGTGGGTGGAACGTCTGGAGGAGTGTCTAAGAGGTCTAAAAGCGTACCTAGCCCGTCTGTTTGAGTCTCTGGACCAAAGCTCTCTCCTGTCCTCTCACCTGTAGAGGGAGACATTCTGTGTCCATACTACATTCAGTATTCCTTCCATTAATTAATGAGAATAAAGAAATGCTCACCCATTAAGCCAACAAGGAAGTCATGGCTCGACTGATCTATTATGCCTGCAATTAAATTTTGCAATGAAATGTTTGAGTTCCTAATATACACAGTGTGTTCTGATGCTCACATTATTATTTAGAGAATATGTATAGATGTTTTTTAGTGGAGTTTTTGTTGTTCGGTTTAAAAGTTGGGGTCATTAAATTGTTTGAATGTTTTTGAAAAATCAAAAATACAGTAAAAACTGTAATATTCTCAAATATTATTACAATTTAAAATAACTTTTTTCCATTTTAATAATTTAAAAATGTAATTGATTCCAATTATGGCAAAGCTGAATTTTCAGCATCATTACTCCAGTCTTCAGTGTCACATGATCCATCAGAAATCATTCTAATATGCTGATTTGCTGCTCAAGAAACATGTCTTATTATCAGCATTGAAAACAGTTGTGATACTTATTATTTTTGTTGAAAAATAATACATTTTTAAGGATTCTTTGATGAATAGAAATATCAAAAGAGCAACATTTATTTGAAATATAAATCTTTTGTCAAATTAAAAATGTCTGTCACTTCTGGGGTCAATTTAAGGCATTGTTAATATATATATATAAACCTTACTGACCCCAAAGTTTTCAACAGTAGTGTAGGTGCTTCTGATCAGAGTTTTGGTTTTTGGACTCAATAACTCAATCTTGACAAAATGTATTTTGCTTTTGTAGGTCAGAAGAGTTGAACTGATGTTTACCTGTAATTTCCAGGTGAGGGCTTGTGCCAAATGAATCAAAACCATCTGCAACATACATGAAACAAACAACACGCATGACGAGAACTGAATCTTTGAACTGAAAACAATGTAAGTATATTTTTATCTCAGAAATGAATGGTTCTTCCATGGTCGGATTTTAAATCATGTTTTTATACCTGTTCCTTGTATCTGAGATGTGCCTGCCATGAAATGATCCAAGCCTGCATCAAAAACAGCAGGTTAACATCAGAGATATTTTTTATCTGTTTTCATGCTGTATGAAATGCCAGTCAATTAAAAACCATATATTCATTGTTTCCTCACCTGTAAATCCTGTTTCTCCTCCGTTCAGTAGTTGTTTGTGTCCATTACCTGTGAGAGGAACCCGATTAAAATGACTAAATCACTCGTTCTGATTAATATGATGCACAGTATTGTTTGCTGTGCATTAATGCACAATAAGACTCACCGTTAGATTCCATCTCAGGGATTTCTAAATGTACAAGATAAAAATTACATAATTATGACATCAATTATCATTTAACAGAAAACATTGGGTAAACTGCATGTACGCTTTGATGTTTATCACCTGGAGACTCGATTTGAGATCCATCATGAGCCGTTTCCCCTGATGCAAGAATATAAGATCTGTTCACGTATAAGTCTGTACAGCATTTAAGAAGTAAGAAATGACCTCCATGAGATACAATAGCGAGATCCTGTTATACACATACCATTTTCATACTGTGGGCCATCTGTATGTGGTGCGAATCCCTCTGACCCTAGACATACATATGCAAAGAGCATTATAATTGTATAACTTTTACTTGAAGCCTTTATATATAATTAATGTAAAATTATTTTTAAAGGAATAGTTCACCCAAAAATGAAAATTTGCTGCGAATTTACTCACCCTTGGGCCATCCAAGATGTAGATGAGTTTGTTTCATCATCAGAACAGATTTGGAGAAATGTAACATTGCATCACTTGCTCACCAATGGATCCTCTGCAGTGAATGGGTGCCGTCAGAATGAGAGTCCAAACAGCTGATAAAAACATCACAATAATCCACACAACTCCAGTCCATTGATTAACATCTAGTGAAGAAAAAAAGCTGCTTGTTTCTAAGAAACAAATCCATCATTAAGATGTTTTTAACTTCAAACCGCACTACTTACAGCTAAAACAAGGGTCCTCTATCCATAATATTGCTTTCTCCAGTCATAATAAGGAGAGAAATATACACAGATCAAGCACCGTTTACAAGCAAAAACAGTTCTAAATAAATATGTCTGTGGATTTTGATGTGAGAGGACATCAGGGGATGGACTTTTTCATTGGAGGAAGCATTATTATGGATTACGGTATTTTGGCCAGAAGCGACAATTTGAAGTTAAAAACTGGTTAACGATGGAATTTGTTTTTTACAAACACGTAACTTTACAATATGTTAATTAATGGGCTAGAGTCATGTGAATTATTGTGATGTTTATGTTTATTGTTTGGACTCTCATTCTGTCTGCACCCATTCACTGCAGAGGATCCATTGGTGAGCAAATGATGCTAAACTTCGCTAAATCTGTTTCAAGGAAGAAGCTCATCTACAACTTGGATGGCCTGAGGGTCAGTAAATTTTCAGCAAATTTTCATTCTTGGATGAACTATTCCATCTTTTTGATTGAAATACCTGTAGGCTGTGATTGGACCTCGGAGGAAACTACACCCACACCATCTGATGTCTGTCCTGCTGAAGGTCGGTCAAAAGTGTGGCTGGATAACATTGTTGACCCATGACCTGCTGCTATATGGCCTGATGACCCTTGACCTGATGACACTGTGGGATTGAAGAAAATATCTCATTGTGAAGTGAATGAAAGATGAACCACCATATTTACATGCACAAGATATTCCAGTATTAATAGGCCTTTGGCTATATTTTGATTTTATGTGCATAACACATATTATAAGCCACGATTGCCTTAACATAAACAGAACAACTCTTACCTACAGAAATGGACACTGAATGGATGCCCCCGTCTGTGCCTGAAACACAATAAACATATTGAGTTTCTCTAGAGCTGTAAGTTTTGTTTTTTCTAAAATGTTTAATATTTGGTATCATATTTCGAACAATAATTAAAATGTGTTTCTAAATGTCATTACCAGGGACTTTAGATCCTGAACCTCCATTAGCAGCTGCTCCTACACCTGAGAAAAATGTTCTTTATCATTCTTCATTTTTATGCACTACTGTTTAACAATTAAAAAAAAAAAAAATAATTTATACTTTTATTCAGCAAGGATGCAAGTGGCAGTAAAAACATTTGTAAGGTTACAAAATATTTCTCTTCCAACTAAATGCTGTCTTTTCTATTCATCAAAAAAAAAAATCCTGAAAAAATGTTTAACTCTTTCCACAAAGATATGAATGCAGAATGAATGCTTTCTGAAGGATCATGTGACATTTAAGACTTTGCATCACAGTAATGAATTACATTTTAAAATATATTCAAATAGAAAACAGTTAATTTAAATTGCAATGATATATATACAGTATTACTGTTTTTACTGTATTTTTTATGAAATGCAGCCTTGTTAAGCACAATAGACTTCTTTCAAATAAATTCTTACTGACCCCAAACTTTTGATTGGCTGTGTATGTAAATTATATTATATTATATTATATTATATTATAATTTAATATGACATTTCATTTTTTAATTTTAGTATTGAATGTACTACATAATAAGCCCTATTAGTATTTTTAGTGTATATAGTATTTATGCCATGCCATATACATGTGTAACTTTTTTCTATTATATTCTATTCTGTTCTATTCTATTCTATTCTATTCTATTCCAGATTCAGTGATCAGGTACCTGAAGGAACTATCTCTGATTTGGACCCATCTTGTCCACCATAACTTGCATCTGTAAGTGAAATAATTTCAGTGATTAGGCAGTAAACTTATTAGAGTAAAAAGAAAATCATATTTACAGCAGATGAACAGGTACAGTACCATGAGAACTTGAGCCAGATGGCTGAGAGTACCCGTCTCTACCGTTACTTCCTGTAACCCACACAGAAACATTACTGAGAGGAAATTCTTTGTACAATAATAAAACATTGCTGTCAATCTTAGAAATGCTCCAGTAATCCAATGACATGCAGTTAGTGGTTTAATTAAATAACAAAACTTTATTAATTATTCACCACCCTGCATCATATTTTCTGAATGAAATCCAACATTTGTTTCTTACAAATTTTGGGGTGCTGATTCCAAAAATAGTGCCTATTTTGCCCTAGCATGTCACTTTCTCACAAAATATGATGTGCATTTTGTAGCATTTTTGCATTCTACAACCATTTGTAAGGTTGGGAAATGTAGTATTATCCCATTATCAACTGCCACAAAGATATGATTTCTGTCTTTCTCTGAGCCAGGTTACAACAATTTGTTACATTCTCAGCCGAAGGCCGGCAACAGAAGAAAATGCAAACATGACCTGTGGATGTTTTATTACAAACAAACAGCAACAGAAAATTACAGATTTTGTGAAAAAAAAAGCTTATTTATTTATTAACTTATTTTGAACATATTTTAACATATTTTTCTATTCCTTTGCAGATTGTAAGTTAAATTATACATTTTGAATACTTGTTTTATCGATACCTTTGACATTTGGCTGCTTTTGTTGTTTTGATAAGTGCATTAAAGCAGATAAACATAATTTTGTGGGGGGGAAAATGCGATAGGAAGTTTTTATTTATATTGTTGAAATCAGCATCATAAAATTAGGTAATACAGGCCTTTTTTTTGCAAATCAACAGAATGTTTTTTTCAAGATGCAGGGCTGTTTTAATAAATTCTGATTGAAATGCTGGTCACCATTTGCTCCATTTGAAGCTGTTGATGTGCTGCCTGATGCTGTAATGAGAAAAAGACTAGTTTAGTTTTTGATTGGCCATGAAAGAGAAGATATATCTAGATTTGGCCTTCTGATGTTCGGCTACGACCCTGTCCGTATATTGTAGCTCTGTAGTGCATTTCTAACACAAGGTCAGTCGGTGTTGCTTTTCTAAAGTACGACTTGTGTGAAAGTTTTGCCCCTGATAGATCAGGTTCACACTTACAGACTTGGCCAGTTTGAGTTCCACCATTAAGTTTCTGACCTGGGAAACAAGAGCAAAGGTTTTGTCAAAAGATGTATTGGACTCCAGAAAGGCCTGAAAAGTGGCCATTGAGCTTTCAACAAATTCACCTTTCACCAGAGGCCATGAGAGGCTAATGCACTCCGAACAGAACTTGTTTTTGCGTTATCGAGTAGACTTTCCTTACCGTTTGGGGATTCGCCCGCGACGGCGCTGCCAGGAGTCATACCTTGGAGAAAAATAGCCCTTCAGTCTAAACAAGGTCCTGAAACTTTGGCCCAACAAACATGCAATCTCGCTGCACTACAGGCTTGTGTTTTTCACAGATCTGTGCACCTGATGTTCCATCTTTCCACATTTATTAATAAATCGAGCAATGTGGCTAAAATCCCCACATACCTGATCCCTAAACCAGATTAAGTACTGATTGACTTTGCTTACTGAGTAGGGTGCACCCAGTGAACTATTTTCCAGTGCTGAGAGGTTCAGTGTTCTCTGCCTCCAGCTCTAAAGAGGATTAGCTTCACCTTACCCAAGCCTTTGGGTGCTGCAGTGGCCTGCTGTGATCCGGCTCCTTTGGGAAAAGAGGGAAAGGAACAAGAAACATATTCTTAAGATTCCCAGAGATCATTTCTCACAGGTCAATCAATCTCTTCCAGCCAGGTGGCTTCTAGAAGGACAAACACTCATTTTGCATGTGCTTAAGGGGTTTTGCATCTTGTATAAACCAGCTATATACATTTTAAGTTGCTTTTATTGTCTTTTATGTGCATTTTAGATCTGATTTTAGTTTAGTTTTTGCAATGTCGCTACCACATTAGAACTAAATGTTTATTTTTGCTACAAGTTAAATATAGAGTATCATCAGTAGAGCCCGACCGATATATTGTTTAGCCGATATTATCGACCGATATGAGGCTGTCGCCGATATATCGGTATCAAATTTTGTACTCCCTAATATCGGTATTGGCATCGGCCCCCCAAAAAGCCATATCGGTCGGGCTCTAATCATCAGTCTTTAGTCTTTATTTAACTCTGTAATTTATCGATTAACTCTGCTGAAAAATTTGGGGTCATTAGGTTTTGTTTTTGACAGAAATTATGCATTAAATTGATCAAAAGTGACAGTAAAGACTTTAGTCTTTTGTTACAAAAAATAGTAAGCAACACAACTGTTTTCAAAATTCTTCAGCGTAATGATTTCTGAAGGATCATGTGACACTTTTTCTCAATATTATTGTTTTTACTGTATTTCTGATCAAATAAATGCAGTCTTGGTGAGCATAAGAGACTGTTTTATATATATATATATATATATATATAAATATAAAAAAAAACGATCCCAAATTTTTGAATGCTAGTAAATCTTAATTAC